CCTGACAGCTTTTTGAAAAAAAAAAATGGTGTTGAGGAAACATGCCTAAAGTGCTGGGTGAACAGTTTGAATCTTTATCACTTATAAAATGTCGTTGCAGGTCACGTGGTCACACTACATGGCGAGCTTGAAGTCGCAGAAAAAAAGGCAGCAGGAATATGGCATATACTTTATTTTGGCACACTTTCAGCGGATTTCATATAGCATATATGTGTATAGTTGAGCTCGCCCGTCGAAGAGGTGAACTGGCACCAAGCGTTTTTTTTTTTTTCAATCTACACGGTATTTTCAGACTAGCTTACAGCAACGCAGACGTTCGACGAGCTTCACGACAACGTAGAGGCTCCTTTCCTGCCTTTAGTATCCAGTTAATATAGGCCTCAAGCAACTAATCAATCGTTTAAACTGTCCTTCTAACCCGAACTATTATAATACGAAATTCCCGTTGCTCGTAAAGCAGACATCTCAGTAAGTAGAGCGCAAAAACACCGTTTTGAGGCAGTAGCGCTCCTGTCGGTATGTTCCGACGCTGAAACCGAAGGTATGTTCAAAGCTATGTCTGGTCGTTAAAAAGCAGATCTCATAAAAGCACACGTAGACATTGAATATTATCGACAAATCAGATTAACAGACGGTGACAGCGCTTTATAGAAGAGTAAATTGCTGTACGGACGAAGCTATACCCTCACGTGTTTATTTTAAATAAAACTACATTGCTGAAGAAAAACTATACGAACTTTTCCTTGAAACAAACCATTTAAGAAAAAAAAAGCTATTAAGGACTACCACAACAAAGTAAATTTTATTTCAGCTTTTTTTTTCTGGGTTCCTTTCTGAAATGGCTAGATCAAGAATGCTTTTTTTATAAATCGGGACGTCGTGACTCCCAATAAGGTGTAGATAGATAGATATGTGGGGTTTAACGTCCCAAAACCACACTATGATTATGAGAGACGCCGTAGTGGAGGGATCCGGAAATTTCGACCACCTGGGGTTCTTTAACGTGCACCCAAATCTAAGCACACGGGCCTACAACATTTCCGCCTCCATCGGAAATGCAGCCGCCGCAGTCGGAATTCGAACCCGTGACCTGCGGGTCAGCAGCCGAGTACCTTAGCCACTAGCTCATCGCGGTGGGGCCAGGATGTTGGGAAGCCTGTATACAGTACGCATGTGTTTGTACAGTACGCATGTGTTTGTACGCGGCGGGGCTCCCAATAAGGTGTGAATTTCGTCTAAAAAACACGGCACTTCGTCAATTTACCGCATGCGCAGCCTGTACAAGACACGTTCGCTCTGTAAAATTCTTTTCTTTTTTGCGTTCCTCAGATACGCTTTCTGGATGCAGTTTGGCTTTTCCTTCTTTGGCGGTGGTGAAAGTACAACATGAACGGACGGTGGAACATTATAGTCCTGAGAGACTGGCACGACAATACAGTGGATGCTCTTGCCCTGTCAACTTGTGTTGGCTTGACTCAAGTGAACGAAGAAAAAACATGGGCGGGTTGGTTAAGCTTTATTGTAACAACTAGTGCGAACGACATAGACGTAGAAAAAAAATTGCTCGTGCAGTGCGCTTCTTCTCCGAAATTTAGCTCTTACTTATTGCGTCAAAGGTAATTTTTGTTTCGACTTCCGTACTTTTATTACTTGTTATGCCTATTTTTTCAAATTTTTTCCTGTCTTCAATCATTATCAGGACGTAAATAGCAGCTCGCAGTTCATCTGCCTGATTCTCGGCCTATCACTCAAGTTGAGCTCATGTCAAGCTGAAAGAACGTCATCTTCACCACTAACTTTTTCTTCGTCTCCGCGTTCATCGTTTGAGCTACCCGTTGCAATTGGACCTGCTGTACACTGTGGCGCGGATCAGAACCAGCTGATCCACGTTTTCTTGCAGCACCAGTGGATGTACAGGTAATCAGTCCTGCGCAGGATTTGGGGAGAATCGCACCTGGCACCACATCTCAGTGGCCTCAGCCGTAACTGAATGGGAAATATGTGTAGGAACAGAACAATTATCTGACAAATGGTAGTCAAAATTGACCCACAGTTTTGCATGCATCACAAACCCAGCGGAATATTCTGTTAACATTGCAGTAGCGTAGCGCCATGTGCATGCGTGTATGCTTCCGGAGAATTTGAATATTTCACACTGCGGCTCTGATATTCTTATACGCCGTTTTATCATCCATCTAAATACACTGGGAACAAACGCGCTTTGTCAGGTTACATTGTAGTTTTATCAGAATGATCCCGTGGGTCAATAGTAGTAGACCAGTGAGACCGCTTTTATAATCAGTTCTCTAATGCGGGGAGGGGTTGCACGGCTACTGTCGAGAGGGGGTGCCACGTGAACGGGTTCACAAATAACAAAGAGCTGGTCTGGTCAGACGGTGTTGACGTCTGAAGGCTAGGGCGTGCAAGCGCAAACAGAAGGGAGAAGTTGAGACGACACAAGCGCCGTATTTGCACGCCCAATATTTGAACACCCCTCTCTCTCTCTCTCTCCAAGTCCTGGTCATATCAAGCGGCGCCACTAAATGAGCCGCCACACAGTTCTTATCACTACGGGCTCATGCCCGTCCTTGAGCTGCGCCACCGCGAACCAGGTATATGCTGGTTCTCCGGTGGTGTCTTCGTTCTGGACGGTCGCTGTCCCATCGATCGGTCACGAAGGGGCGTCAGCGGTATTCGACGCTGTAGAGAGACGTTCGCCGAGTGTGTTCCGGAAAGAGGAGACGAGGGAGTGAACAGAGGCGAGGATGACCCGAACGGTGGAGTGTTTCCGTTCGTCGCAGGCAGCGGCCCCGACCTCGCCGTCCAAGCTGAGGTGGCCCTCATGAAAGGTTTCTCCGACGGAGATACCCTTGAGCTTCTCTTGAGTACGGTGCTTCCGGGCATTGTGGGTATCGAACTGCGACGAACGCCTTCCATTCTCGTTGGTGATGGAGCCGGTGAGGAGACGCTGCTTGGAAACGTCGGTGGGGTTACTGGCAACGCAGGTGGTGATTGCAAGTTCGCCGCTGATGGCGATGTTACTTGAGGTGGTGGTGTCGTCCTGGTCGGTGATGGTGTCGTTCGTGGAGTTGTTACGGAAGAATGCGTTGTTATTCCGTAAGTCTGAGTTAGCCGGGGAGGAGGTGTCACGCGGGGAGGTGATGTCGTCAGGGTCGGTGACGTCACTAATGGAGGTGGCGTCACTCGGGGCGTGAGCTGAAGCGGTGGCGTTATCCTAGGGGGTGGCGACGGCAAGCCGTTACCTTGCGACGGCTGGCTGTTCACCGCGGTAGATGCGATGTTGGGTGTCGCAATGTGCATAGGTTGAAGAGATGTTGGCGACGGCAGCGCGCTTCGTCTGGGAGGGCTACTGCTGTGAACGAAGCTGACTTGGGCAGCTGGGGTGGTCGACGGTACTGCGGGAACTGCCGGCACCGGCGACGGCGGAGGGATTCTCTTAACGGGAACGCCAGTATGGCGAGAAAAGTCAACCAGTGTCGTTGCTTCAGGCGTGCCTTGTGGTGTCGTACTCGTCGGAGTAATCGGCGATGGTGGTGACAGCGTAACGGGCTTGCTTGACGCATCGTGTCGTGAAACACTCTTCTGGAGTTCTGTCGACGGCGTCAATGTTCCAGTGGAGCTTGTAGCCGTAGTGGAAGTGGGTTTCGCCAACGAGCGTCTCGGTGTGTACGAAGGCGCGTCGGCAGCAGGAGAAGAGCTGGTAGCCGGCTCACGAGGTGTCTCAGCCTGAGGCGTCTGCTCAGTCTCTCGCGACGGCACCCTTTCACGAGACGTCGAGTCTTCTGAGAGGTCTGCAGCCCAGCGACGTCTCGCTTCGCGGCGTGACGCCCGTCGTCCTGCACAGGTGAGATGAACCACACATAGAGCTCTAAAACGTGCCTCCCAAAATACGCGCTAAAGCTCTTGGGTACATTATAAGAACATTGGAAAAAAATAATGTCCTGTTGAGCAGCAGCAGGCTATAGACACGCTCTCCAGGTCAGTTCCTTTTTATACATAAAATATTACAAACCCTAGACCTCTGGCCTTGTTGGTATCGGTTATAGTTATAGCTATGTAGCATGATACTAGCGAACAGTGCACAGACATATGGAAGAACAGCAACAACGCCAGACTTCAACTAACTTTTATTGCACACGAAAACATTCCCTTTAACATCAATGAGGAGCTGCATGGCTGATCACTTATCGTTACGCCTTCGTGCTGGTACTAGTAGCCTCGGTGGATCCCCATGAAATACAAAAGGAATTTTTCTGTGCAATAAAATTAAGTAAAAATATGGCGTGTTGCTGCCTGTACACTATCCATGTGCTGTTAGTCAGTGTCATATTACATGGCACTAAAACCCGTTTTCTCCTTGAGGTTGAGGGGACGGACACAAACGCTGTCTCTTCCATCAGGTAAGATCCGCCTACAACTGAATTACTAACCATCTCGCTCTCTTGCTCGAAGAAATCCTATACCTCTCACACCATAATTCAACGAACTCATGTGGGTTTACGCCCCAATAAAGTCTCGTCAACAAAGAAAACGGTATAACGAGTGGGTTCTTTATAAGCCGATGTAATACTGAGAACATGGAATGTGTTCAGTTCACGCGAACTGTCAATTTATAATGTTTCTTCTCCTTCTTTACACTAATTGTTCACAGTGTTCAATTACTACATTTAAGCACCAGAACCACAAATTAACCACGTGAACGCATGTGCATTAGAAAAGCTGCAAAACACCGTCTGACGTCTGCCGTCGAAGCAGACGTCAGCGTACTTGATTGTCGCAAGTTCTGGCTTGATTGCGATGCTCAAGTTAAGGTATAGTTAATGCTTTCGAACCTCTGTTGTGTTATCGACGAAGTTAGCGTAATTCAATTCATCACGCCTCTTCTTTAAGCGGTGTGAGAAAGCAAAGACTCGGTTTCTATCAGTAACGTTAAGCGTCACTGGCACTGCCTTAAGTTTCGTTATACGAAAATGGAAAGTTATTTTCTTGCATATCTGGCCCTTAAGACAGCGAGCATGGAAAGTACGAGAGGTATACCCATACGAATTAGCATTTTTACCTCATTATTGTCGTATAAAGACAATGGAGGCTGACACCATTATGGGATGTCAGCCACCACCATGCACCCAGATATCTACGTTCATTTTAATGTGTCGCCTCTACGACGCCTGTTTCGTAGACAATAAAAAAGTAACTGAAAAGAAAGGTATATAAGAACGAAAGAGAAATGCATACGACAGCCGGACATAACCATAAAATCCAACTGGCCTAAGCCGAACTGTCTACGCGCGTTTTACCGACAATGAAAAGGGAAAACGTCAGCACAAAAGTTATCTCGAAAGAGAAGTGATGAATAGAGTGAGAACGTAATCGTAAAAGTCACGAGACCTCGAGAGGGTGCACGACCATACACGCGACAGTGGAGCACAACGAGATATGCGTATTCGTCGGGTCTCTTTCTGTACGTTCTTTCGATATGTCTTTTTTGCTTGGCGCACTACTGCATCCACTTCGCCCTTTTTGGGCACCGTCTCGTTAGATTGAAGCAGCTCGACATTTGGACGTTATTCATGCGATCTTTTTTTTTCGACTATATGTAGCTTAAAACGATGTATCACTGTACTTGGTGCTGCGAAATGAAGCTATTCACTGTAACGTCGAGTTCTCGAGGCAGGATCTCACACTCGCAGCTTTTCAAGCTCGCTAATGAAGATTGTATGCCTCGGAGTCGGTCCTGCCACTAATGACGCTTTCTCGCTGCCACCATCATTCAACTGCCGAATCGCTATAAGGGGGCGCTGAAGATGACTGTCAGAGAGTGAGAGAAATGCATGCTTTGCTTCGTTACTCATTAACTCTTGAGAAGCAATATGGTGGGCTACTTTAAAAACTGGCTGTCCTGATACGCTGCTAAGACAGACAAGGCACAGGTTCGGTGGTGAGCCCACCGCGGAGGCCCAATGGTTACTGTGCTCGGCTGCTGCCTCGAAAGACGCGGGTTCGGTACCTGCCGCGGAGCGGTTGCATTTAGACGGATTGATTGATTGATATGTGGGGTTTAACGTCCCAAAACCGCCATATGATTATGAGAGACGCCGTAGTGGAGGGCTCCGGAAATTTCGACTACCTGGGGTTCTTTAACGTGCACCCAAATCTGAGTACACGGGCCTACAACATTTCCGCCTCCATCGGAAATGCAGCCGCCGCAGCCGGGATTCGAACCCGCGACCTGCGGGTCAGCAGCCGAGTACCTTAGCCACTAGACCACCGCGGCGGGGCACATTTAGACGGAGGTGAAACGCTTTAGAGTCCAGTGTACTGTGCGATTTCAGGGCACGTTACGGAAACCCGGCTGGTTCATCTTATGCGGAGCATTTCACTGCATCATCTCTCATAGATCATAGGAGTCGCTACGTTACGTTAAACTACACAAGCTAAACCAATCAACTGTTTTGGTTTATTGTTTCATCGCAGCCACGGTGGCCGCATTTCAAATGAAGGGGAAAATGCTTGAGGCTCGTGTACTTAGATTTAGGGTCAAGTTCAAGAACACCAGGTGGTCGAAATTTCCGAAGCCCTCTACTACGGCGTCTCTCATAATCATATGGTTTTGAAACGTTAAACCACAACAAATTATCATTGCGTATTAGTTTGATCTTGTTCGAACTGAAATGAGACAATCACGCGGTCGTATTTCGATTGCTCACAATTAATTTCCAATGAACACCCAGGCGACGAGTTGTGCGAAAGAAATCAGTTATTCGAACTAACCAGGCCAGTGCTCTTCAAAATACAAAAACAAGTCTGTACGGTGAATATTTACTCGCTGTTCACATTTCTTGCCTTATATTTCACCATCAAAAGTATCCTTAATGGCGCTGTGACGTTATATGTAATGGAAGAATGCATCACCGGCAACAACGAAAAAGCAATGGGACGCCGGCTGGTCTCAGATGCAACTCATTCACTTTAAGAAATGTGCTTTATTTGAGGCTAAAAATTTTGTCTTGTTAATGGCAACAGGTGTTTTCCGAAACATTAACTATGAGAACAGTTCAATGCTCTTGAATGTTTTAAATAAAATTAAAGAGCAGCGAAGTGTCTGGTTAGGCTACACGTACTCTAACCGAGGAACAAATTCGGATATGTGAACGAGCTATTTAAATTTAGTGTGCTTTTCACGCGGATGTATCTTCCGAGAAGTGTAGGGAAGGTGTTCTCTCACTGAACGAAACGATAATAAAGTTTCTACTCTACTGCTTAGAAGCCTCGCAAATGAACACAAACACTATTAGAAGGAGTAGCTCACCTTGAGCTAGTGCACTGCTCAGAACAGTGCAACAAAAATTAAAGAAGTAGAGCCTCCATGTTTCACGCTTAATTACAAAGCAATCAAGAAGTGACCTCGTTGATCTTCTCTCATTACAATAATAAGGGCACCTTAATGATGTGGTTTATTCGTTGTAATAAGTAAGCCTACCTTTTCATAGGCTTTTCAGCCTGTGGCCTCAACAAAGCTAGGTAGTTCTCGCCTTGAGAGAGGTGTTAGATGGAGCGAGTGGCCTCCCTTCTTTTGTATATTGTTCTTTGCAGTTGTACATGACCCAGTGTGTAGCCTGGTGTAACAACGTGAAAATATCGCGTACAGCCAGTGGTATTGTGGCTCTATAAAAGACACTGAGCTAGCTTTGAAATGGGCGAAAATATGCTGCAGACCGTGCCAGCCGCAGGACGATGTTGTCGCATTCTCAAACACGTTCCTCGTCGAACTACTTACGCTGCACTGAAAAAAGACGTCGGCCGAGAAGGAGGATATGAAGTCAGGTAATTAGCCAGTCCATACTTAGCTTGTCGCTTTGTTTAGATACAATGGTCTGAACGGGACTAAAAAAATCAAGACTTATGTAAATACAAAAAATCTCATCACCACATATCCACAGAGTGCTATTTCTAAACTTTCCTCTCTCCCTACGTGTAAGCTGGGAAACTGCACTTAGTCTAGTTAGCCTCCCTACCTTTCTGATATTTTTTCTCTTTCTCTTTTAAACTAGTATTAATATGGTAATAAATGTTGGGCTTTTAGGCTCCAAAACCACGTGCCATATGGTTATGATTGAAGCCTTAGTGGTGGGTTTCAGAAATTACGACCATCTGATGCGTTGTTTAGTGCGCACCTAAAATTTAAGTACAGGAGCCCATGACACATTGCGGAGGTCTATAGTGGTTATGGTGTTTGACCGCTGACCCGCAGGTTGCGGGATCGAATCCCGGCCGCGGTGGCTGCATTTTTGCTGGAGGTGAAAATTCTCGAGGCGCGTGCGCTTAGATTGAGGTGCACGTTCAAGAACACCAGGTGGTCAAGATTTTCGTAGGCCTCCAGTATACGGCGTCTCTAATAATCAGATCGTGGTTTCGCCACGTTAAACCCCATCACTTATTATTACACGGGCCTTTACCATTTCGTCTTCATCGAAACGCGACCACCGCGGCACGAATTTGATCACGTGACCTTCGGGCTAGCAGTCGTGTACCATGACCACCAGACTACACCGTGGTGGATAAACAAGCGTTCCCATTTTTTCTTTTTTCGAATACGTGTGAAAGAGTCCGTACCGAGCGAGTCCTCCCTGTCCGAGCCGTGCCTGAGGAAGTCGAACAGCTGGTCGTCGCTGGCCATTTCGGACGAGGAAGGCCGGCTGCGGCGAAAGCTGCGTCGCAGGCTGTTCGAAGGACTGGCGTCCGGGGAGCTGGCGCTGGTCGTGAAACCACGCTCGTCCGTGGTGCGAAGACGCGGCATGTCGCCGGGGGCTCGCGGCTGGCTGCCGTCGGGCTCTGCGATGGAGCGCCGGCGGTTCTCCTACGTGCGCAAAAAAAACAGGAGTGCGTTAGTGTACATGAACACTATAAGATTAAAGAAACATTCTGGAGTCATTCCCCTGTTAGGAAAGTGTGGGAAAGTGAAGCTTAGCGTGTGCGTACCTGATCTGTTAGTATTTATTTTTTAATTTTTTCCTTCCTTCCACGCGGAATACCGTCCAAGGTGTGAGGGCGCGCCTACGCAGTTGGCATGATGGCAATAATCGCTTACGTGAAGGCGCCGGCACCGGAACGTGGCGTCGTGCCATCTTATCCAAGTAAAATGAAAATATGGCAACGTGAACTGACAACTGTGACAACTATCAATAAACAATTGTTTATATAAGACGTGAGGGCGCGCCTACACAGTTGGCATGATGGCAATAATCGCTTACGTGAAGGCGCCGGCAGCGGAACGTGGCGTCGTGCCATCTTATCCAAGTAAAATGAAAATATGGCAACGTGAACTGACAACTGTGACAACTATCAATAAACAATTGTTTATACAAGGCATGAGGGCGCGCCTACGCAGTTGGCATGATGGCAATGATCGCTTATGTGAAGGCGCCGGCACCGGAACGTGGCGTCGTGCCATCTTATCCAAGTAAAATGAAAATATGACAACGTGAACTGACAACTGTGACAACTATCAATAAACAATTGTTTATACAAGACGTGAGGGCGCGCCTACGCAGTTGGCATCATGGCAATAATCGCTTACGTGAAGGCGCCGGCACCGGAACGTGGCGTCGTGCCATCTTATCCAAGTAAAATGAAAATATGGCAACGTGAACTGACAACTGTGACAACTATCAACAAACAATTGTTTATTGTTTACTGACAAGTGAGAGCAACGAAATATTAGGCTGCCTTATCAAAAATGGCTGACGGCCGACAAGCCCGCGATCAAGACAGGATCAGTTACTAGAAAACGAAGCGCACAACTGCGCATGCGACCGGCGCACCATGGAGTACCACATTTTTATACACTCAATGCACCGAATTATTCGCGTACGACAACGCCGCCACCGAAATATGTAACTCGAAACACGCTCCGCTTCAATAACCTAGCGACACGGCCCGTCTCCCGCTGACGGTCGCAGTGAACATAATCAGTGCGCAGGTAATGTACATAAAGCTGAAGTCTAAACATCTCTGGCAGATGTGTACCTGGCTGGGTGAAATAATTCTAGATGAAGAAGTGAGAAATATAAAAAAAAATAACACACCACTTCCATGACTGATGTGGACAATACCTGAGGGAGGTACCGAACAGTTTTCAAAACTTAGGGCATGCATGGTGCACGGTCACCGAACAATTTGTGGTTTTCAGCGAAAACTAAGAGTAGAAGGTCTGTTGCGTTCATACAAACAAAAAAAGTTACAAACAAAAAACGTACGCCGTAAAATAATATTTTAGGAGAAACTAAATTCCAGAATTATTTGGCTTTAAGCCCCGCCCACAACCAGCAAACGCCATTTCGTGCGCGTGACGTGATGTGCAGCAGGGAACGGAGCCGTCGTCTTCTATAGCAAAGTTTCAGCCGCTGCAAATAGTTCAATCCCAGTGACACGTTGAACAAAGCTAAATATCTTTGATTCCGCGCGCAGCTGGCACGGAACAATCGTTCGCTAAAGTGCAGACGCTCGCACAGCCAGTTTCTTGCTACGTAACGGCGATCGCGAGTGTGCCCGTACTGCCTGACTCTCGGTCCGCTCGCCAGTTTATAAAAATATTCATTTATGAATTACCTTTTCGATCAAATACAGTGAAATTTGTCCAGGTCATTTGTGAACGCGCAAGAATTAATATCCCCATAACATGGATTACGATATAAATTGGCTGTCATGGCCTCTTTAGGCTATATCAGAAACTGGTTGATCGGCCTTTTCAGCCTATGCAAGGCAATATGAAAGCGTGAACTTACGCGCGTCATTCACCGCCAGCGCAATGCTTGACGAGCGATGTTGAGATAAAAGTGCAGCGGGATGAAGCAACATCGGAAGGATTTGAACACGGTGTCGCAGACAGAAGCTGCTGGAAAGCATGAAATTTTACCCTGACGGCCATCGTGAAAACTGGGTGTGACTGTCGAGAAAGGAGGAGGAAGGGAAGGACAACGAGGCAACTGTCGCAACTGCGTCGAACAGGTGGTGCAACCGCAGAGGATGCTGCGGAAGCCAAGCATTTTCTACCTCTACAGCTAGACCTTTTTATCGACGAATAGAGAACTCTATCGATGTATATAAAGGCGCATGGTTGGCACTCTGTATACAGGAAGGCACATCAGCACAGAGACGCGCTAAGTCAGGAGGGTAGGAAAATAAAAAAAAAGGAAATATTTGATTGTGGCTTGTTCTGCAGTCAGAACACAATGGTTGCGATGTACGCCACCTTATAGTTTATCAGTGAAGTTGAAAGTTCTCGAGAAAAATGATCAGCGTTTGAAAATGCATTCTCTTTCTTAGCCTTAGTGTGGGCGCCTACTTCATAACGAGAGAGGTGGACGAAAGGAAAATAAGCAACTTCCGCAGCCCTAACTGGGAGCACGGCTCAGCGAGACAGTGGCGTGTGAGCCAAAATGGTCTACTTTTAAATACACCTAATATCTTGCCCTCCCAAATTAAATGTTATATTTTTTTCTTGGGAAGAAAAAACCGTACATTACTAGCTTTGCGTTCTGGCTTGTGCAGTAGAGCATAATTTTGTTTTTAATGCAGCTTTGTTTTTGTATTTTTTTGTTTACTTTTCCTCGAGCTCAATCAGAAAAATCGCCGAAGCAAGCTCAATATGCGACCCCGATGAAGCGAAACTCGGGTAAGAGTCTACAAATGTAATTCGCGATAAAAAAGTATCAGAACTTGCCGGCACGCGCGGAAGCTGTATGCCAACGGCGTTGCACAGAGCCAACTTTATTCCTTGCGAGTGTGAGCCTCGGTTTTCCAGTGTTTCCGTTCTTGCGAAAAGTAAAGGTACTCTAGTGTTTACACTTATGGAAGCGTATCACTTTAAAAAGAAAGAATGAGATGTGTGCAAGTGACACAACGACACAACTGTTGTTCTGTGTGACGACAAGTTTAGTTTTTTTTTTTTCATTCTTTATCAGACTGGAATATTTTTTTTTTTGTCATCTGCCCTATCGAGCCTGTGAGGCGATGTGCTTTGTGCATGCATGGTTGAGCTGAGTTTCTGAAAATAAAGTTAGTTGCGAGTAATGCCGTTTTCTGTGCTGTCTCGAATTCTTCTTTGGTGGTTACACGTCTTTTTGTATTTCAGTAATTTCGGCCTTTTGCACATCTTACTGCGTGTTTGCCCAATGAAAAGAAGGGACCAGTTTTTCGGGGAAGTTTGGACAACTACCTTTTTAGAGGAAGAGACTAAAACTCTGGTTCATGCATAAAAGGCATATACACGTTCATAGGTTCGAATGTGCAGTTCACGTGCAGAGTCGCATAAAGATATCTGGTATGGGTCATTTCACGCCCATGGTCCCAGCCGAGACGCTCGCCAAAATTTAATTTCTATGAAATATTCTGAGAAAATTACACATGCATGGACATTGGTTCCGAAGTATTTTTCCGAAACATTTTGTGCGCACGTGAGTGTCATTTCAACTTCACGAAAAGGTAGAAAACTAGGAACGTAAAAAGGTGTATAAATCCGCCGTTCACGCATTTTCTCCATATTTGCTTTGAGGTGTTTCCCGAATGGAGCATTGTGATTTTATTGTTGGACAGTTTCTAATATTATATCTGTTTTTTGACTGCTCAGCCAGTAAGTGAAAATGTGTAGATACTAACGTTTTTGGGATTTTTTTTTGCGAAAAACAGTTATAGGTCAAAGGCAGAAGTTTTTTTATTTTGTAAAACTTTCAAACACATTTATTATTTTTTAATTTTTTTGCCTGTGTGCGGCGCGTAAATTCTAAAATGAAATCCCCAACTTGAAAAAACGACACATTGGCCTATGTTGAGACGTCTATAGAGCCCTAAGGTGCACAAAAAAAAAAAGCAGAAAAGTGTATATGATTGAGAAGCATAATAACTTTGTGCGCAAAAAGTTTACTCGAATTCATTTTTGTTTTATTCGAGAAAATAGATTTTGAAGTTGCCGGTCGGTCGGTCCGTTGGTCGGTCGGTTATAACTTATCTATCTTTTTTTGTTCTCGATATATATATATATATATATATATATATATATATATATATATATATATATTATATATATATACTATATATATATATATATATATATATATATATCGGTGTCAGTAACGCGCCTTATATCCAGATGGTAGCGTTGCCTCCGGGACATCCATCGCACGACCCGCTCTCGACGGGAGACTGAGAGAGAAGGCGGGCGCGTGAGAGAGAGGGGTGCGCGCGCAGCTGCAGCGAGCGAGGAGAGCGGAGGAGCGAGCGAAGGGGGAGGGTGTATAAGGCGCGTTACTGACACCGATATCAGCGTCGCGTCCGTGGCTTATTCGGTAGAGCGTCGCGCTGCGGCCCGCCAAGTCCTCTTTCTTTTAAAGATAGAGAGAAGACTGCGGACGCCGCCGACGGCGGTGGATGGTTTGGGGTCGCTTATAAAGTGTATTCACACTTAAAAGGGGTTAACTGCTTGGCTAGTGGGTCCTGAATAACTGACGTGAGGATTTATCGCACGCAGCAATACAGACACAAAAAAGAATAAAAAAAAAACTGAGAAGTATGCTTCAACATTTGATCGGCCATTCACGCTATTTCCATGCACATCATGCATGATTCTATGCGTGAAGCGTCTCGCAAGTTTTCATTCATCATTATTTACCGCGCAAACGTTTTGGCCAAGCAGTGTTGCGGTGACCGAGGAAGCCTGCAGCCGCATGCGAGCTAAAGGCATCCGACTCCTGTCAACGTCAGAGGGTTATTGCTTCCCGTTTTTCGAATCGCAGTGGAATGGGTTTGCCTGTCTGTTGGTGCCACAATAATGCTATTGAAAACAAGGACCAGTTGTATTTGCTTTTGGAGACTCATACGGAAATGATCTTTTTTCAGAAAGACTGGGTGCATCTGTGTATATACTGCATGACTGTTGAAAAAATGTGGCCTCATTACGAGGTGGAGAAGCCGGAGCATTTGCTTAACTATACGTTGTGCCGTTGGTTTACGACATATATTTTACGCTCCATGCACACGCCTCTAATGACTAGCGGGGCACATAGATTTCGCGCAATGTTCTTTTATTGAAGTATCGTATTTATCACTGTAGGCGCAGTAAGGCGACATTTTTTTTCAATATGTCACTTGCATTCCTTGCCCGCGCATTCTTGGTGAGGAAAAGACGCTTGTTTTTACACTGTGTATGGGTTTTTCGTTTAGGTATAGAAAGAAGATAAAGAGACGTGCGTTGTGGTTATGGAATACTGCACGTCTTTCCCGCCTAACTGAAATATATGACTTGATACTACATACCCTCGTGATAGACAACGTTAAGCTATAGGCATCAGCGGCTGATTGCGTACCTGATATGTAGTTAGGTTAGGCTAGAATGCAAAAAGATAAACAAATGCGTGAGCTAAATGGGTCAACAAGTCAGGCACACCGAAATTGCACACAGATTGGACATTGCATTGTGTTGCCACGTGGTATGACTGATAATCACAACGTAAATTTTCAAAATCTCGCTAGTGTAACCTAACTAGATTCGATCAGGCTCCAACGTATTAACCGAAAGCAAAAACGAAGCCGGTGACCAGAGGGTAGGATTCTGAAAGCCAATGCAGTGGCCGAAAATTGATGTGAAAGGATAGCGTGGTGTTAATAACTAGCCCCGTGTTTATGCGCCTGTATCTATAATATGCACACATGAAAAATTGAAGAACGAAAAAGGGGGGAAGGGTTACAGCACCCTTTCCCCTGACTACGCCAGCGCTGGGGGCAATTTTTCAATGTTTTCGAAACGCAATGAGATCATCATGAGGGTGAAGGCTTGAGGCCAGCCTCCTTTGAGAATGCGTGACAATACACAAGGCATACCTGGTCGGCAGCCCTGAAGCTTCTCCAGAAGGTTGCGATCACGCCGCAGCATTCTTCCAACTGGAAGCTCGCTGGATCCTCGCAGAAGAAGGCGGCCAGGTCGTTTCGAGCCTGGTCCAGGGTGCGCAGGCTCCGTCGCAGACGCTCCAGCTCCCGCTGGACGAGCTGAGTAGACAGTTTACATTACCGCATAATATTACAACAATTGTTAGGGATATGAGTCCCCGAACAGTACAATGTGGTTATGGGCGACGTGGTAGTAGAAATTCTCGGAAATATCTACCGCCTAGAACTCTGACGTGTACTTAATTATTAAAGGCCGCATTTCCTTTTATATAAGTGTGGCCGCCGTGGCTGGGATTTGACCCCCCAACCTTCTGGTCCGTATTCTGACACATTAAACATAACATCACCATAGCGGGTAGATTAGCACACGTAGGTCCCACTAGCATATGATTCACTTTTGTTCGTCTGAATGGGGCACACAAAAAAAGTAAGTGCCAGAAAAGCTCTCGCCTCTAACGACTGTTCAATTTGGTTAGGTTAGCTTGTAAGATAGAAATGTATTTTTAGTGTTTATTCAAATATGATTATTTGGTTCAGCTTAAGTTGAGGACGACGCAGCGAGCAATGAAAAGGAAAATGGTAGGTGCAACTTTAAGAGACAAGAAGGGAGCAGAGTGGATTAGAGAACAAATGGGGGTTAAGGATATCATAGTTGAAATAAAGAAGAGGAAATGGACATGGGCCGGGCATGTAGCGCGTAGACAGGGTAACCACTGGCCATTAAGGGTAACTAACTGGATTCCCAGAGAAGGCAAGCGGGTTAGGGGGAGACAGAAGGTTAGGTGGGCGAATGAGATCAAGAAGTTTGCGGGTATAAATTGGCAGCAGCAAGCACAGGACCGGGTTAACTGGCGGAACATGGGAGAGGCCTTTGTCCTGCAGTGGACGTAGTCAGGATTATGATGATGATGATGATGATGATGATGATGATGATGATGATTATGATGATGATGATTATGATGATGATTGGAGAAGCTGTCATCCTTTCCTGGTGACTGCTACCTCATCCCACTTGACTAGTATAAGTACTAGACGTTAAACAATAAAAGGGACATTTTGCGTTCTTTCAGTGAAATGATCTTTCTGAACGGTCTCGTATCGTAACAGTCAGCGAGTGTCTCTGGCATACGAGCATGAGACAAACACACATTGGATTCATGTCAAAACACATCATGACTCCTCCTTTAAAGGAAAAAAAAAGAACGAAAAAATTCTGGCTTCGATTAGTATTCAAATAAAGCAAAAATATGTATCGACATTGGGGTAGTAAAACGACCTCTAAAACGCTTTCAACTGAAAGAAAAAAGAATTATTTCGTGCATAGCTGAGGCGCACAGATTAAAACACACGAACGAGGTACTCGCTATGCAAAATAATGGTTTTAGGTAAATGTTGATCCCATCTACGAGCATGAGTATGTCCATAGAAGCGTGAGCGTAATTTCATTGCTTTTAGATTCATTGCACTTAATTGCCTTTGGCCTGGTATCTCGGCAAGTTAAAAAGACCTACAATGCAGAAAAGTTTTCCACAAAAGCTTTGGACGAAAATCGTAAAGGAGAGAGACATAGCTCTCCATTGTCCACATACACAGTCCAGCGCAATACTTTTTTTGCTGTGCATGACGAATTTAGCCTGAGTGCAAACCGCTTGGGGCATTTGATGTGTACTGTCGACGTGGTAACGTGAACATGTACCCTGAAATAGGAAATGCTTGGTGCAAGCTGTTCTACATACCTCACCTGCTGTTGCTCCCGCGTTTAGAGAAAGAATGTACAATTTGTACGCCTGTTATCACCTTCTGACGCTGTCAGCTATATAGCACCGGCGCACCTTATGGCGAGAAAACACTTTAGCGGTAAGCACGGGATAAGGCAGCTCAGACGCTGCAATAATATCTGGAGTTTTAGGTGCCAAACATATGTTAAGGCAGTTTCAGAATAAAGTACTCCAAGTTTTGTGTTAGAGTGTGTTGCCGATGTGCATAAGTCGTACGCTTTTGGGGTAGTAAACTCTTCGTTATAAAATACGCTAACCTCAATCACGTTTCCCCAAACTGTCTATTATGAGGCACGTCAAAGCGGAAGGCTCTGAAAATTTCGACTACCTGCCGATCTTTAACGTACATTCACATCTCACAGTACACCAGCCTCAATCATCTTGCGTCCATTAAAATGCGAACACCGTGGCTGGGATCGAAACCACTACTTTGACAGCCCATACGCCATCGAGATCTGTTTTAACGCCCGCAGCCACGCGTCAGGGATGGCTGACCCATACAAGCGATAAAGCCCTATACATTGGGGAAAAGGTCAGTGGGGGCGTTTGAAAGCTACAAATACAGGTTTGAAGATAATCAGATAGAAATAGTAGAAATATGAGGAGAACGAGGAAAGAAAGGCACGACGGTCAACCGCACGAGCGCCCGGTTTGCTATCCTACCCTGGAAGAAGAGGATTGATGGATGAAAATATAGAGATATAGAGATAGCGTAGTAGAAGTAGAATTAACGCAAGAGGGCAGTGATGGCTGTTGGTGCCGAATATGCATTGCGTGTGACCGATTTCCGTTAAAGGCGTCGCCCGTGCGCGAGACGCAGAATTCACCGATGCGTCAGCAAAGGCAACGGTGCTGCCACCACTATAAGCGCTCGGAACACCCACCTCGAGCAGCGCCCTCGTGCGTGCAAGGAAGGCGTCGTCGCCAGAAGGGCGGCCGGCCGCCCTCGACGCGTCCGCCTGAAGGCGTGCCAGGCGCTCGGCGAGAGCCGAAACGTCGGCTCGCACCTGGTCTCCCGACACGCGACTCGCCGCCTCCAGCGAGGGAAGCGCCGAGTCGTAGCCCAGCTGGCCGCTGCCCAGGACTTGAGCGCGCTCGGCCTCCTGCAAGTGAGAACGCGGGATGCGCTTGGGGGTTGGAATAACCACGAAAGAATGAATAACAATATATCGTGGAATAACGCATCTGCTTTAATAAAATGTCGTTATAGCAATAGTGCAGCTTGAAAGCGCGAATTTCGGGGCATCTGGGCATCCATTGTCGAGATCGGGAACGCTCGCCTCAACTCAGCAGCACGAGCGTACTGGGCAGCATAGAGTTTCCCACAATACTTACTAGAGGGAAACTCTGGCGCTAGTGTCTATGGGAGCTACAACGCACGGCGCTTCAGCGAGCACGGGAATGATGGGTAGTGCACACATTTGTGTAATATTAGTACTTCTGGCCTGCTTTTGGCTCCGTGTGTGTTCGTGTCGCTTGGAGCTGTTTTCTCACGAAACAAATATTAGCTAATGTTCAGCACTTGCGCTTCACCATTTAATTTTTTTTTTACACTTACTTTCCAAATTGGCTCGCGAAGTTCAAAAGGGTTCAATCTTTCTTTCAAAACAAAAACCGAAACACAGCAATAAACGGAGCCGCAAGTATGATTCGCCGCCCGCAAGTACGAAGACTAGGCAAATGTGTGTACTACCCATCATTTCCATGGTCGCTGAACGATCGCAGTGCCAGAGCGCCCTCTAGTTAATTTTGAGAAACTCTATGCTGGGCAGGTCTTGCAGAAACCCAAAAATTTGTGTACCTGAAAAATAGCAGCGTCAATACCCCTTTTGTATCCATTTTAGATAGAGCTAGCTTTCCTATCGGAGACTATGATCATGGTTTCCTTTTGTTAAACTGCTTGGAGTGTGTATCTGTCACGCTCTGCTGTTTTTTTTTTTCATGGGTCTTTTTGTTGCTGCTGTTGTTGTCGTTACGTGCTGTATGTCTAGCATATCGTGTGAGCAATAAACCTCCATATGTTAATCAGCTTCCGTGCTCTGTGTTCCCTCGACGCGTCTTCAAAGTCGAGCTGTTTTCGTCTCGGTGTCGCATGTTCTGATGTTCCAGTCTGCTCTCCGATGCTCGAACCCCGAGCCCGCACATTCAAAAATGAACTTTCACCGTGCAAAAGTCAGTCATCGAAACCGCTTGCGGCACTTTGTTTTTCACTACCTTACGAGACTTCTCATCCTGCTTCTAAAGTCCAATCGCCTTTCTTTCTTAGTTAACGTGCCTTGTACCTGGCTCATGGAATATTTAGAAATGAAAATAACCCAAAAAAGAGTTCTTTGGAATTCTGGCACTGTATTGGAAAGGTTAAGAAAAGAAATAAAATTTGTATGTACCCGTTAGTAAGATGAAGCCGCAAGTGGCTTCGTATTCTTAGGAATGGGTGCCTGTCAATTTTTCTTTCGTAAGAATAACCCCTCCTTTCTGCAAATGTATTCTTATTAGACTGATAGTTGTCCCAGACGACTGTGTGTGAACACAAATGTCCTTCATTGTATTAACTTTTTTTTATTTTTGATGCGTCGATATGTTTGGAAGGTCATCGAGTATACCGAATCGCTACGATAACTGACAACTGTAACTGTTCAGACAAAACCGCAAGTCGGCTTCTTGCAGCGTGGTCGCTCACCTGTGCCACGTAGTGAAGCAGGCCCACTCCTGGCCGGTTGGAGCGCAGTTCGGCGACCTTGAGCAGCGACATAACCTGGAAGCCGGCCGCGTTACCGGCGTAGCCTCCCTGCATTGGACGTGCAACGAGGCAGCTTGTACGCTATATGCACCATACAGTTGGCAGCTAAGCGCGCGAGAAAGTATAGAAAAGGTCTTTGGTGAACTGTTTAACTAACCATTTGCACAAACCGCCATTTATTTTTCTTTCGTTTTAGAAGCCTAAGACATCATTGCAAACTGACACGTCTTTTTCGATCACATAAGCGAGCTGTCTCTATCTAGGGTTCAGCCTATTTTCCCGCTTTTGTCACAAAAACACAACACTCTAAGAAAAATTTTCACACCCTGATGATTATGCCGTCTCCAAACAAAAGCCGCTTACTATATTGCGTGTCTTGCCTTTCCACAACACCGTGTTTTTCTGCGCTTTTGCGTCACGGACAGCGTGTGCGCATCAGCGTGACATATATAGTGTTTTACGATAGCAAAATGTGAGCTAAAAATTAAAGAAACATTTATGCAGGAGTGGCGAATGTCACTTGGCAGTAAGGTAAGCTTTCAGGGGTTAAAAAAAATTGAGGTGTACTTATTTCTTGATTGATTAATATGTAGGGTATAACGTCCCAAAACCACCATATGACTACGAAAGACGACATAGTGGAAGGCTCCGGTGATTTCGACCACCCGGGGTTCTTTAACGTGCACCCAAAATCTGAGCACACGGGCATACATGTAGCTTTTTCGCATCCATCGAAAATGCAGCCGCCTCAGCCCGGATTCGATCCCGCGACCTGCGGGTCAGCATCCGAATACCCTATATACCCACTAGACCACCGCGACGGGGCTGTACTTACTTCTTCAAACGTCAGTTTTTTCAAGATGAAACTGTGTGCCCTTTACTTCGGTGTTCTGCGCGTGTGGAACACGTCTGACTTAGCCACCTGCGCATGACCAAAGAGTCTCGGCAATAACTGCTGAAGCAGTATGACAAACTTGCATATCTACATATTGCGCGTCTGGGTGGCTTTAAAAATTCTTTTTTTCCGTATAGTATAGAAGTGTGGGATAGACTTCCAGAGTACGCTGTTACTAGCGTAAATGTCAAAGCGTTTGAGTGTTCGCTAGAATTGTACTACCGGCAACATGAAACGTAATGTCTGTTTTGTCATTGTGTATTGTTTTTGTTTTGTCTTTATATTCCTCCCTGTAATCACGCTCAAGTGAGGGTTACAGTATTAATAAATAAATAAATAAATATATGGCAATACGTGTCCCCCCTATTTCTGTCGATGAGGATAAACTGAGAAGAAAACATGTCGTAACAAACGACGGTATACAATGATAACAAGAGGCAAAATCGCTTTAACAGCTAGCAAGGTACGTGCCGACGTGCAATCTCCAAGTAGAGAGGCCCGGACGACGCCATGCTGCACCGAATTTTCGCCTCGCGATAGCAACCCCGCACCGGCCGCGGTGAATGAGGCTGCGGTGCCCAACAAAGCTGCTTTGCAATATCCTGCATAATGTATGCCGTGGGAGTCTGATGGAGAAGATGTGCCTATCGCGAGTCGTGCGCCAATTTCGCAGTAAACCACTCATCTAAAATATTCAGAGTGTGCGCGCTCTTGATTAGCCACACAACACACACACACACACACACACACACACACACACACACACACACACACACACACACACACACACACACACACACACACACACACACACATATATATATATATATATATATATATATATATATATATATATATATATATATACATATAGGGGGGGAGGGGGGACTGTTACTGGGGCTGTAAGCCTCTAGAGCAGTGGTTCACAGCAACGGATGTTTTGTAGACACCTTGTGGATTGGTGGCAATGATGAGGGACCCTTCGGAGTGAAAGAAAGTAGGGGTTTTAATAAATTAACGGCAACATGCAGCGTGCAGTGGGTGCCCTGTAGTTCTGCCCAGACAAAGAAAGAATGGTCAAACTAAAGGGCCACAGTAATTCAATCTCAACAGCTTGTCAATAAGTTGTGTGGTATATGCTGCTGCATTCCACCCGTTTCTAGCGATGTTTGCTATTCAAGTATGCAAGCCCGGAAAGAGCATGTTTGCGTGAATATGTGGTAGAACGCAGAAACAAAAGCTTTAGAACCATCTCGTGGAAAGGGGGAACATAAGTTATCCCCGCCGCAATGCACAACTGTAAAATGGTGAAGCATAACAAAAAACATTATGGCACATTGCGTTACTGGTAACAAGCCCCAATAAGAGGCGAGTTGGGCGGCCTTCTTTACTTCTCTTAATTTTTTTTTCTCTCTTCATTCTTCTCTTTATTTATTGAAGATGGTTATTCTGGAACCTCCAAAAAATGGCTTCGCATAGACACGCTGTCCGCAGACTTCCGTTTGATAGCCATTGGTATAGATTTTGTTTGTGTCCTTCGCGCTTCCGGTTAGGGTGCTTGGCTGTTGACGCAAAAGTCGTGTGTTCGATTGCAGTCACGGTGATTGAATTTCAATGAAGGCGGAGTGGTAGAGGCTTGTATGCGTACGATGCCACTGCACGGTAAATAAAACCAGAGGGTTTAAATTTATGCGGTGCCCTCCACCACTACTGCGTCCTTCATAAGCATATGGTGGTTTTGGGACATAAAACCCCAGATATTATTATTAGATTCTGTCTGCAAATCTTTGCGAGTATTTATAAAAACGTATACGATGCCATTTAGAATATGCAGAGGCCCAATATTGTTATCATTTTTAAGGGGGTTAATCTGTGTAAAGTGATTAACTGCTGGCTTGAAATGCTTCTTCAGCGACCGAGAAAGAGTCATTTTCAAAAGTGTTCAAGTGAGGTATCACTTTGGCACGAAAAATTGCTTTAATTAAGGAGCCCGATCAGTACTTGAACATGTCAATATCTCGAGTACACTTTTAGCGAACTAAATCTATTGCACTCGCAGCATGCCAACGCACACGCCCGTCAGTGCCGGTGTGAAACACATGAAGTTGGCTAAAAACAGTATGATACCGTCAACAGAGAACCTATGCCTAATTATGTGTATTCTGTGAAAATGTGTTGCGAAGCGAACACCAAAATTCACCTCGCACGAGAACCGCTTAGTGGATTAATACACTTGTGGTTTGCCAGTTTCTGACGTAACGCCAACAACGTAGAACACACAACGAAATAAGCATATTCGGCCCTTTTTCAATGCTATACACATATTTTCTGACTTGACGACGCAAAACAAACGACTATAGAAAGAAAAACGGCGCCGAATGCAAATGAGACATTACGGTGGATACTAGCAGATCTGAGCTCGGCTTTGTCATACGTTCGACTGAAGGCAGGCTCGTTTTCGTCGACATGGCGAAATAAGAAAAATTACGCCGATACAGTCAGAAGGTCGAGCTCCTCATCTGGCACAAAGCTCGAGCGGAATGAACAAGTGCGTTCGTTGAATTTCTATGAATGAACACCCGTGAGCGAGAACGGTTCACTTACGCTGAACGCCTACAAGTCTGCACCAATGCCTCGTGGACGCTGTTGATAAAATTGCACCACCTCTGAATATCGAAGGAGGGCGCGTGGCCAAGACCGAGTGCCTCATAAATATTGATTCGAGCAGCGCGAAAAAATGAGGAAGCTATATAAAGAACGGCGACCGAAGAGAATAACACACGCGGGCTCTTCCGCATCCCGCTCACGGCTCGAAATGCTTCCTGGCGTGCGAATGATAACTCGAGAAGCGCCGTGCGTCGGAATTGATTCTTTTTGTCCAACTCCCGTTGGAGACTCGTCCGCGGCGTTGTGGAACTGAAACGCTTTCCCAATTATCGAATGTGACGTCATCGCTGACGACACTAATGCCACGTTCGGTGGTGGTCGTTTGAGAGCTATATCTGGCAGTATGTTGAAAGAGTGGAATTGAACAGTTTTAAAGCTCTACAACGAAGACAGCCAGGAATGCAAGTCGTGCTCCTATTTGCTTGTCATCTAGTGGGCCGCGTACTTAAGTAGTAATGCTTGACGGGCGGCATCGGCGGCAATCTTTGAAAAGGTTTTTAAAGTAACTATAGACTTGGACGATTGGCTGTGAAAGTGATGTCGCGTGCCACACAAGTGTAACAGGTATAGTTACTGACTGTGTGTGTGTGCTGTATTAACGCGACAGCGTTAAAGAGCTCGTTTCGCAGAAATTCCGGTATCGTCGTCGTTGCTTGTGAATGAGAGATCATCTTGTGCGTGACCAAAAAAAAAAATCGAGAAAGGTGCAAATAAGCTAAATAATAAAATTTTCCGGTTCCGAGTGAGGATCGAACCCAGGTCTTTTGCGAGGCTAACAGGTGTTCTACCACACAACCATGCACCTGCTTGTAAGAATTGTTAAAGTAATTTCCTCTGCTTGGAAATGCAGTAAAAATAACGTTCACGCTTTACAAACACGCGCGTACTGTATACGGGCTTCACAATACAACATCCTGGCGCCGCCATGGTGGAATAGTGGCTAAGGTACTCGGCTGCTGACCCGCAGGTCGCAGAATCGAATCCCGGCTGCAGCGGCTGCATTTCCGATGGAGGTGGAAATGTTGTAGGTCCGTGTACTCAGATTTGGGTGCACGTTAAAGAACCCCAGGTAGTCGAAATTTCCGGAGCCCTCCACTACGGCGTCTCTCATAATCTTATGGTGGTTCGGGACGTTAAGCCCCACATATCAATCAATCAATCAATCAATCAATCAATCAATCAATCAATCAATACAACATCCTGCATCGCAGTAATATTGCGTGGTACAAGTTCACATTTCCATCGGTTGTCAGAAGATGTGATTATCGTAACGACTTCGGGGTATAAAGCCGGCTTTTCATTACAACGTGCACACACATCTATGTGCGTTTATGTTCATGAGTGGCTGCATAGCAAGTTCGAAAACATTTCATGCGCGTAATCGCTTATGGTTTAAAGCATGCTACCCATTACACAGAATGCAGGCATACGCGAAAGCTTCAGTGACACAAGCCACTTTCAACTTTATCTATCACACTGTAGTAATTTACAATTCCAACTTCGCAAGCAACATCACACTTTTAAAAAGTATGCACAAAGTGGTTGACAGGATATCGCAATATCGTTCAACTTTTAAAGGCGAAGTTTAAGGGTCCCCCATTTTTTATCTTTACCGATAAAGTAAATAGTGGAGTTTCGCTGTTTGTTAGCAACGGCTACTTTTTTAAACAAACAATTTAGTATAAAGAGATTCAGAATAATTTTCGTAACTATTACGTTGCCTGAGTCGTGCGAAATATAGAAGGGTACAGTGAAATTACATTTTCAATGCTGTAGGGGCTCAAAGCAGTTAGTAAGCGCAAAAGTGCTCGTTACACTAAGTGCGAATGTGGAAAAGTATCTCTTGCAATATCATAGACGACATCTATATCGATACCTTGCAAGTAATCGTTGATTAGGTACGAATTCGTCTATCCCTGTCATAATGTTCACGAATATATTATTTGGAAATATAACGTTCGTACCAATGCGAGGGATTAGCTTTGCGTATGTGCCCACTGACCCTATCAGTTTCAAATGGAAGATAATACGCTGACGAGGTCCAGGGAAAAAAAAATTGTGCCCACCGACAACCGTTGACGGGCAGATCACGTGAAAGAGAAGGGGCATATTCAAGGACAGTAAAGAGACAGGAAGCAAGGATAGTGGAGAGTTCAGGGTGAAAACAGTTGAAGAAAACGCAGAGTTAGTTGCATAGGAGGGCGCAGGGTTCCTAATCAGGGGGGAGGGGGCCGTTTATCGGGCGCCCATCCTCTCTCTTAATCATTGTAGGGAGCAGACATTGCACCCCCCTTCCCCCTTGTGCGGACGTCTATGGTTAGTTGTCATAGACTTATGACATATATACGTAAAACGTACCGAATTGAGGAAGTTTCCCGCCACCAGAATCATGTAGAGGACTTCATGCAGGGCTTTGCAGTCTTGTATTTCTGCGCAGCCAAACAAAAAAAAAAAAAACAAAGCTCTCATGTTTCAAGAGTTAACTTGACTAGGGTTCGGCGACGTTATTGTTGTGCCACCTATCGTCGGCGACAACGATGGCCTGCCGTAACTGAATGGTAAATAGAGAAAAAATATATCTTGCGAAACAAGTTTGTCTCCAAAAATGACTCCTGGTTATAGGCAGCATAAACCCACTGAATCGTTCTGGTAAAATTACAATGTCAGGCTTCAAACCGCTGGGCTTTCCAGAGTATATTTAAATTACAATGGGGCCCCATGCGCTTCAAACGGATGTTGTCCAATTTTCCCGGGAAGCCATACGCACAGTTGTGCGAAGCTTATACTTTACCGGAATGTCCCAATGGGGAGTCGTTTTTGAAAACCACATTTGTTCATGATATGACTTTTTTTTTCTCGTCTGCTTCTCGTTCAGTTATGACAGGACGCCATTGCCGCCGCACAGAGATGGCGCCGCGTACAGATCTATTCAAATCCTGGGAATGAGGCAAACCGACATTTCGCAGTATATACAAAGCGCCAGCGCAACACCGTAGGTGATTAAGAATAAAATGTAATGCAGACAAAATGGTTCCACTTGTGGTTCCGTTCTAAATGTTTGAACTGCGTATATATATCTTAGGCTACAAAAGTCATGATGTATGCTGATCATACGGAAGCGCACATTCGCCCGTAATAATATGTGATGCATTTCGCACGAGCTTTCCGAAATATCACAATGTGTATTTATTTACTTCTACTTTTTCGAAGCTTTTGCCCAACAGAAAATACCTCGACAAGATGTAAGACAAATGTGCGAAAAGTTTCAGGTAAAAAAACTCGGTTTCCGCGATCGTCCAATACTTTATAACCTTCGCACCAAGTCACAACATTTTCTTTGGCAGGCTTATACATTAATTTATCAATAAATATGGCCTGCTTTGCTCCGTAGCACTCAGCATCATTATTTCAAGTTCTATTCTATTAGTAATGAACAAAAGTAGTACTGCATTGCAATATATAGGAATTAAATTGCTTCAACACTTCTTTGAAGGCCAACTGCTTTTCAGACAAATATTGACTCTACTACATAGTGTGTGTGTTTTGCTCTTGCACATGAAAAAATTGTGCACCCAATACATTAATAATTTTTTTTACAATGAGAATTATTCCATATAGAGCAGTGCTGTTATATTTCTTTTGTTTTCTTCATGCATCAGTTAGTGTAAAATTCTTTAATTACTTTATTAACGGACTGAAAAGAAATAGCTGTAACCAGCAAGCGGTCACAGTATAAGTATATCTTTCTTTATTCTATTCAGTTTCGTCTCAGTACAAAATTGTGCACTTATACCAGAAAATATTTTAATTACTCCTACTTTTTTAAAAGTTTGACAACATAGTTTCACGCAAAATGAGTTTTCAAAAATTTATATGAACTATCATGCAACTGCGAAATACGGCCCGTTCGCTTTGTAAATCTGCAAGTCGCCCACTCGTGAATGTTACTATAATACGGGCCACTTTCTCTTCGTTTCAGTTAATTTTGGCCAGCCCCGGTAGCCTGGTGGTTGTGAGGCTCGAATGCCGACTGCGGCGGCCGCATTTTAATGGACGCAAGAGGCTTGGCGCCCGTGTGTTTGGGTGCGCGTTAAAGAACACGACGTGATCGAAATCTTCGGAGCATTCCACCGGCATCCCTTATAGTCATATCGGCGTTCCTGAACGTAAAACTTCAACAGTTATTATCATTACTTTCTCCTCATTTCATTCAGCGTTCCTACACTCCCCCTGCGTTTGCCAAGCGCTGCTCTTGGCACGAACGGGAACGCTCACATTTCTGAAATCGCAATCTATTCTTCGACTTGCATGCGCACCAGAAGCTCAAGCAGAAACAGGCAGGCTATAACCCATGCCTCCAACATGAAGCGTCCGAAAACCGCCGCTGCGTCACTTGTGATGGCCAGGTCACTGTACGCTTTAGATGATTATGGATCGCTGACCCCGGCGCTGACGTGGTAAGGCCAAAAATGTTCGCCGGCGGTGCGTTTATGTTTACTTTACTCACGTGCATCGCGCAAGTTTTTCTTAACGAATCGTTTTTCGGGCATTTTCTTACTTCGAGCCGGCTCGCCGAGACCGACAGAAAAGATCGATCCTTCCCACGGATGCAGTCTCCGTTGCAGTATAGAATTCGCAGGGGGATACGGATTCGACATTAGTTCCGATTGATAACGGGGTTGAGCCAACGTGGTATATTTTTGTGTGAAAGAAAACGCCGCGAATGAGCTAATAGAAAGAGTGTGCAACCTTTGGCAGCGTTTCTGAGGCAGGTCATGGAGGTCTCGAGGGAGGCGACGATAGTGGGGAGTTCTTCTTGAAGGAGCAGGCTCTCCACACGCAGTCGATAGCTGAGAACACAACGCACAGCAACAGCATTTTCAACCACGCAATAACACAAAACAATAGCGTTTACGCAATCACACTAACGGGACGCCAACACAAACGGACTAACAATCCCAATAACACAATGTACAGTAATCTGCTTGACATCGCTAATAAATTTTATCTTTGTATATTAACCATTGTAATTAAATACGCGGCCTTATACTTGTTTAAACATTTGCTTCTGTTTATCTGCTGTTATATGTCATGTCCGCTAATTGATATTATTGCGAAATTACCATGTTGCGACTATTTCTTATTGTAATTAATGTCATCATGCACAGGAGGCCTTATATAAGTTTCCAGCCACAGAACATCATTCTTCTTACATACATATCATGCAGTCATCACCCTTCAATAACATAAATAAACATATTCTCATTATGAAAGGTACGAGACGGGTAAAAAAATAAAAATAAAAAGATTACCTCTGGGGAACTTACAAGACTTCTTACGTAAACGTAAAGCAGTTTTTTTTTTCTTTAACTGCCAGTCTGCAAATGTAGTTCAAGTTTCATGTTTCTTAAAAATTCATGACAATGGACCAAATTTAGTACATATGCAATAGTTGCGTCGTTGAGCTAGCTAGAGATCGCGGAACATTTAAATATGGAAGAAAAGACAGCACGGTGCACGGCATGGTTTATGCCCAGTATACTCGGCGCACAGTCCAGTCCTGCTGTGAGATTACATCCAAAGTTCGCAGAATACCAACCCTAACTGAATGATCTTGAAAGAATGGAGGACATTGCCGCAACATTGCTTCAAAGCTTCAAAAGAAACCTCGCAAAGTGTTTTCAGAAGCGTAGAGGCGGGACAGGCGAAAATATCTCTTTAATTTGCTGTAAGCCGATATATCTTTGTTTCAACTCCATAGAAAAGTATCTGCACTGATGCGATGTCGTTGCTTCTCACTTCATCATTTCACTCACATGAATGTGCGTTGGTGACCTCGGATATATGCACAACGCATGCATGCATCCGATCAATCTGCACATGCATGGACACACTATAGTACTGGTCCCTCCTTGTGTTAACATGTCCCACGCATGCTAAACTGGCAAACATCATGCAGTTTAGAGGTGTCATGAAGTACTCCTTTTTTCAACTCAACAGTCTGTAACTTCTATCTCTGTAACGATGAATCATGTCGCTATGAAAGCATTGTTGCTACAGCGACTACTATATATACGAGCTTTCACTGGCGCGAGGGAACCGCAATCTCGCAATGATAACTGAGGCGTGAAGAATGCTCTTCACTCGTGTTTCTGTTGCATCACAAATGATAATATCATCGCTTGCTTAGCGCAATCATTCATACCATGTAGTGTTGTGTCCCATAGAGTTTCCTATAATTATACTAGAGGGAACTCTGGTGCTGGGATCTATGTGGGCTGCAACACACGGTAAAAAGAAAAAAAGTGCCGCCATATCCACGAAGTGAATGATGATGAGTGGGCGAAGCTCTGGAGGAAAACCTGGTAAACCATGAATCTTCCGTACATTTTGCCTACTCGATTTTATTACAATGCTCCCCCTAGCGTACGTCGCCGCACTAAATCGAACGATTGCCTTCCACCAATGACACGTGCCATATGTGACATCATTCCTATTTTATAACATATCGCATCTTTCATCATCAACTACAAGTACCACCGTCTAGTTTATAACATCTTGCATCTTTTCATCATCAGCTACAGGTCCCGCCATCTAGTGAGCACTGAAAGAACTAAACGAGAGATGGCTACATGCAGGAGACGGTGCCGCCATCTAGTGAACACTGCAAGAACTAAACGAGAGGAGGCGACATACGTGAGACGGTACCGCCATCTAGTGGACACTGCAAGAACTAAACGAGAGGTGGCTACATACAGGGGACGCACAGCCCACGCCTTAAGGAGCTTCGCCCCTAAAAAAAAAAGAAAGAAGACGTGGTTGCGTGCTCACTCCGGGAGTCGCAGTATCCTTGCGAGGAATGCCTCAGGTGGCGCCAGCTGTCCCGGTTCCCGCTCGAGCAGCGCCCTCTCGAGCGCGGTCGGCGACTCCGGCGCCGGGAGCAGCGCCTGCAGCGCACGCAGCTTGTCGGCGCCCAGGCTGCCTCCGCCGCTCCCTCCGCGGCGCAACACGTCGAGAAGCTGAGCCTCGTCCGCCTGGCCGCGCAGTTGTTTCAGGAAGATGCCCACCTGCGAAACAGTCACAATCGAATCATTAGCCTCCCTGAGAGAGAGAGAGAGTGTGAGAGAGATGAAGATGCAAGGAAAGGCAGGGAGGTTAACTAGACACACATCCGGTTTGCTACCCTGCACTGGGGAAGGGATAAAGGGGAGAAAAGAGGTTGCAGAGAGATGAGAAGGTACACACATTCCCTGAAATACAAACAAGCCATCAGGCACAGAGGGAGTTGATGGAAAGGCAGGATAGTTAACCAGGCAGAGTCTCTTTGGCTACCCTGCAGTGAGAAAACAGGACTGGATGATGATGATGATGATGATGACGACGACGACGACGATGAGGAGGAGGAGGAGGAGGAGGGGGGCGAAGAAGTTGCGTTTCACACCGACCCGCACGCTAAATGTTCATCGCAAGCGCTCGTGTATAGATATGTACGTCTCGAGAGACTCTGGGACGCTTCTGTATAGCCTCGAAACAAAAGTTCTTTTCGAGAAGTGCCAAGATCCCATTTGCAAAAGGCGTCGCGAAACGATAAGAGATTCGCTCAAGGTATCGCCACAGGTCTGAGAAAGAGGCCCGATATAACAATAGGGATGTTGACGCTGACATGCAACTGAGGGCTCCTTGTTGGCAGCCAACACAGTTTATCGCTTGCACCATTCAGTGTTACAGAAGGTATTCGTGCCGAACAAAGCAGCTTTCTCGAAGCCTACATATACTACATCCAATCTTTTCAAAACAAGTCGCAGCGTATGTACTGCCCGGAAAGTTAGGTCTTCACAGCTCCCGAGGCGTCGCCGAAAATGATGTGGAAGGAAGGAAAAAGAGGCAAAAAACTGGTAAAATGAACAGCACCTGATGGTAGTTGCCCTTCTTTCGTCATTTATATGTAGATTTTATTCCACTTAAGCAATGCAGTAATTTCTGATTATTAGATAACATACAATCATATAATATCTGAGGTTTCACGTCACAAAACACAAGATACTTATGAGGGACGCCGAAGAGGGTGACCCCGAATATTTCGAACACCTGTTTTTCAACGTTCAATCACACCGCGCAGTACACGGGTCTCTACCATTTCGCCTTCATCGATGTGCGGCGATCGGCAACCAAACATACCGGCGGCCAAAGGCTGCGATTGAACCCGTGACCTTTGGGGTCAGGAGCCGAACGCCGAATAACCACTACATCACCGCGGCGAACTGTGAGCGAAGTGAAGCTGAATACCTTTCAGCGCACGGCGGATTTGGCGTTTCATTTTGTGAGGGAAGGAATTATTATATATTCTAACGCACGCACGCACTCTCTTTGCCCAAGGGTGTGTGACTTCTTCGTTACGGGTAACCGTATAACTTACAGCAAAGCCCGAGCTGGTCCTCACGGTTTTGTGACGTCATCAACGCCTTGTATTGGTTATCTGGATTTGTTTGTATGCTCATACTTCCAAAAGACTGCTTTATTATTATTATTATTATTATTATTATTATTATTATTATTATTATTATTATTATTATTATTATTATTATTATTATTATTGAACTATCTCCCCGAAAGAAACCATGATTGGATGCGAGGCAGCAGCGGTGCGCATGCCGTTGGCCCGGCTGAAACGGGCGTCGACGCGGGTGCCGGAAAAAAACAGTTTGAAGCGAAACTCGATGTAGCCTTTACTCGAGTAAACCTTTGATTTAAATGCAAAGACATGTGAGTAGGGTTGGGTTTCGTGTAAGTTTCGTCGCAGGTAAACGAGCCGAAAAAGAGTTTCCACTTGACGTGCGGTCGAGTGTTGCGGGCTCTGGAGAGGGTGAAGGGAGAGAGAAGTGTGTCGCGAGTGGGCGAAGTAGCAACACCACCTACGCGTGTTGGGAGGAGCCGGCAGTTGCTGCGGGTGAGGGAGAGTGACGTCAACGCGAAGCTTTGACTAGACCTACTTGGCATCGTTCCAACAACTGCGGCGGGGGGGAACGCGGTGCGGCGCGTCGGCACGGAGACACGGACGGACAGCGTTACACAGGCTAGTCAGAGAGCTGCTTCGCATCTAACAATCTGACCTGCAGGCTCCTCTGCGCGTCGAGTATCCTGAGCGGTGCCTCGTCTCCCGAACGACCGGATGCAGGATCACGTGGTCCACGGCCTTCGCTGCCGCTGCCCGTACCTCCGCCGCCTCCTGTCCATCCGGAGTTGGAACCGGCTCCTGCAGAGCCTGTGGCGTGGTGTGCCGAGGTCGCGGGCTGCGATGGCTGGTGCTGACAGAACAGACCCTCGAGGTGCGCGAAGTCGAGCGGGGATTCCCCTCCGGTGTGGCTCTCGGCGATGCGCCGCCACAGGCTCTTGCGGCCGCCGGCGAGCACCTGCGTAAGTGCAGGACACGCATAACGGGAAACAGGGCATGGTAATTTAGCCCTCAGGTGACATGCATCATCATCAACATCCTTATCATAATAATCATCATCAGTCTGTAGACACAGGAGCAACTTTGCACTTCTAAATCAGTAAAGGGGAACTTGAGCAAAGAATCAGCACAACGCAGATGGGCACAATTGCTTTACGTGCTCGAAACACGACCCTTTTATGGCGTTGAAATTATAGTTCGCAAAGTGAAACATCATTTGTTATTAAAAGAAAATGGGGCATTGAGGAAGGAAGGAGCAAATAGACAAATATGAACACTGTTAAAAGGGAGACGAGATTTAATAGCCCACGCGAACTGAATATAAAAGCTCATGCAAATGGAAGATGACAAAAAAGAACAAGTTGGCGCGAAGGTAAGCAAGCTACGTGACTATAAGTGCGTATATGTATATTTACGCCGAACACTCTATCGTCGCGCTCGAGAATCAATCTTAAAATTTCTGTAATATAACAGAAGGTGTGAGCACGGTAGGAGTCAATCACGACGCCGTTGTCTTTATACATTCGAATAATGATCGATCCGTTCAGATCTGCTTCAAGTCTAAATGATTCATCCTTTCCAGCGTTTTGGGAATGAACTCGCTTCTCTTTTCTCGTGTTCCAAATTCAAGTACTATTCGATGCTATAGTTGTCGAAGTGGAACGGCTGAGCGGAGAGACGCACCTTGTGCGCGGGTATCTTGTTCCAATTGAGAGTGCGCATTTTGGTGCCCGGTTGGGGCCACGACTGCACCAGGCACGGCGCCGGCTCCGACTGCTGAGGTGCCGACGGCAGTGCGGGAGCCATCGGAGGCGGTGGAGCCGTCGGCAGCGGTGGCGGCGGTGGAGGCGGAGGCCCCGACAGGTTTGGACCTGGCGGCGGTGTGAAGCTGACCGGTGCCGTTGGTGCCTGCCATCACAAGGGACCAGGGAACGATTAAAGTTTGTTTGAATCAGCATCTAACAGTAGCACACAAAAAGCCTGAGAGTCCATGTACATTGATACCCCATAGAATATGTTGAGTATAGTCTCACGTGCAATATGGTATAGTATTAACATTGTGCAAACATTCTTGTTGGGCCATTGAGGCCAGTGCTATATCTTCCTCTGTTTTACAGAGCTCGCGCATATCTAAGCGCTGTTCTACATCAGCTTTAGGCGGAACCACACATCCTTGCTACGCTTTGTTTGTCTGAGAAGCAGCCAGCATCTCCTACGCAATAATTATTTTTTTTAATAATACAATTTAAGAACAGTACAGAACGGGTTGTAGCCATGTATGCAAATAAAGGTTGTTCAATGTAGAGAAGTTCTACAACAACAAAAGGATGAACTCACAGCCGACAACAGACGCTTAAAGAGTAACCGTTATAACTGAAGATGAGAAATTCCATGATCTATAAAAGAGTGGTGTACACGCGTCATCCTGCGAGCTATTACAGAAGAATCATCTGAGTAAGTTGGTTAATATTCTCGAGAATGAAAACTAGCCAAAAGCGAGGCACAGCAGAGGAGAGAAGTGACACACACGATTTGATACACTTCTCTGAGCGTCGATTTTTGCCTAAAGTTCCTAAACAAAAAAATGCTGTTACGAGTGAATGCGATCACGTGCAAAAAAGATGCATACAGAACTCGCAGAAAACACTGTTTCATATTGACAAAGTTGTTCACCACATATTTATTTGAAGCACAGCCAGTGTCAGTCCGTGTTCCACGTACATCTTCCATCTAAGGGGCTCAGTCACTGTTTCGTCCTTCCGCTATGCGAAGGGGTGGTGGGGTTGGCCTAATTGATGCTGGATTGTCTGATATTTTACGCGGACAAGGGAGGTATAGTAACGGCAGCACAAGCCCTCAAAATCATTTAGAAGCTTCCCGTTCGGTCAAATCATCGTGACCAGTACGAGGCAAGCACTACAGAGCGCGAGGTTGAGCAGTCCAGCGTGTGGTGCTTGCCTTGGTTTCGGCGGAAGCTGACTCGTGGCAACGGCAGCTGCAGCATCTCCGGTTGTTGCCACCGCTGTCAGCGGGCGATGAGGAAACAGCGACCGTCGTCGGCGTGCTGGTTTGCGTGTCAGCAGCGGTTGTCGTGGCGACTGCCTTGGCAGGAATGGCAGTCGTGGCTGCGGGTCCCGTACCGCATCGGTCCAGGGCTTCGAGGCTGGTCTGGCTGTGCTTGGTTTGTCGGACGGGCGTGTCCCAGGCGTCGTCGGCCAGGAGACGTTGCAGGGCACGCAGCAGGTACGCCTCGCGCTTACCGCTGCCGGAAGCCCTCGTCGAAAGCGCCGTCCAGGCCTGCTGCAACGTCTCCGGGGGACCCGACGTACCAGACGGCCATCCGCTCTCTTCGGGAGGAGGGGACGTCAGGCCTGCGGGAACCTGAAGAAGAGCAAGAAGCACCGATATGTGGCAGTGGTCCTCCCTCTGCCTTTTTTTTTTTTTGCTTTCGTGTATACAGGAATGAGGGATTTCATTACAATTGCCTTCTGCCTCCTAGTTCATAGT